AAAAAAGAGCAATTATCATTTTTAACAGGTTAACTCCAGGTTTTTGCTGATTGAATTGTCAAATGTTTATTTTATTTACGTTTTTTTATTATTATAATCCACCTACATAGTAATATATTTTAAAGTAATTATAATCAAAGTAGTTTTGTTTTGTCTAGATCTAATTTATTTATTTATTATTATTTTTAAACAAAAGATCCAGTGAAAAAATAATAATAATAAATAAATCAAATCTCGACAAGACAAAATTATTTTGATTATAATTATTTTAAAATATAATACTATCCAAGTGGATAATATTAATAAAAATAATAATAATAAACGTAAATAAAATAAACATTTGGCAATCCAATCAGCAAAAACTTGGAGTTAACCTGTAAAAAATGTTAATTGCTCTTTTTTTTTTTCAGGGTTCAATGGCTTATTTGCTCTTTTTTCCGGGTTCAATGGCTTATTTGAGGGTTATTTGAGTTCGATGGCTTAATTGCTATTTTCCAAATAATTCAGTGACTTATTTGTACTTTATCCCATGTATTTTTGTGTTTCTAGTATATATATATATATAATAATAATAATTACTAACCTATACTGAGACATATCAAATATAACATGACACTTTTTCTTCACAAACTATCTAATTGGTCTCCTTTTAGAACACAATTAATCAATAAAAAGAAGTCAAATTAAGTGTAAAGATTCGTAGTAGATTATTATATAAAAAAATAAATTAAGATTGAGGATAATAAATGAAAATAGCATTTGCACCTTGTATTTTATGAGTTAGAATTGAATAATGTACTTTATGTGTTAGAATAACGTACTTTAAACTGATGTATTTTGTGTTAAAATAATGTATTTTATGAGTTAAAATAATGTATAATATACTTTGTGTTAGAATAATAAAATTTCTGGATAAGATTATGTATTTTATGAGTTAGAATAATGTATTTTATGAATTAGAATAATGTATTTTATGTGTTAGAATAATGTATTTTATGTGTTTTTGAACTGTGGTCGACACAGCTATGTGGACCACGGTCCACGCAACAATGATTGTTTTTTAAAACATTGTTGATTTAACTTCTTCTCTATCTTTTTATGTAATTTGATTGTAATAATTTTCTCTATTATAATAATCCACATGCCATTTATTCACCACTATTTGGTACTACAATAATTTTCTTTAACCCTTCATTCCTAGTTTTAAATTTTAATGGAGTAATTATTATGTTGTACAAATAATTTTAGTGAAGTAAAACGATAGAATATTTTGGCTTTTCTATGATCATTACTAAATTGGGGAGCCAAACCCATCCTTTTCCAACATGGGGGTAGTAATAATTGGAATTTTGTCACACATAAATGCAGGAAATTATGCAGTAAAAAAAGAAAAAAGATACATGTTCTTTTATAAGTTTTCTTTCTTTTTCTTCTATCATTGTATGTTAAAAAAAAAGACTACCTAATATAAAGTGACCCCAAAAAAAAAGGGTCCATATCATACTCCAATAACTTTATCTGAAAAAAATTGATTACGAACTCAAATATCAACTAAAATTATCTGTGAAGTTCAACATAGAAAAACCTAAAGCATGTATATTATATAATTAATAATACAGTGTGAGTCGAACCTAAAACTAATCCCACATTTTCACTGTTTTATACAAATGACAAAAACTTCAGGATCAAGACCCTTACTTACGAGTCTAATTTCGATCCCAATAAAAAAAAAAAAAAAAAAAAAAACTGAGTATCAACACCAGTGTTGAAAAATATGCTAGACACTTGATTTTTTTTTTTTATATTTTTATTTTAAAAATTTAAATTTTTTTAGGGGTTATTCGCCAAAATAAAAAGGAGGGGAGGGAGAGGGGGGGGGGGGGGAGAGGTTCGGTCGCCTAGACCGCCTAGGCGTCCAGCCGCGGAGGAGGCCGATTTTGGCGTTCCTCAACGCGGTCGGACACCGCTAACGCCTAATCAGCGCCTAAGCGCGATTTTTGCAACCATGATCAAGACACATGAGTGGTGAGTGTTTAATTTGGTAGCTAGCTATATATGCAAATAATTTGTGAGAACTTTTTTTGACCTAGTTTTGGTTCAACTTTCTTTGTATCAAGATGGTTCACTTTTCAATTGAGTCAAGTGGTGTTGGGAAACTAACATTCACCAAATGTATGTAGACATACTACATGTGATCAAATTCAGTCCAAAAGTTCCAATAATAATGGGGTAAGATCATATATAGTGCCTCAACAACAGCAACATGATAAGCTAGGGCACCCATTATTTTCCATGGTTGAAAAAGTGGAGGGTTACCTTTATGTTGCATATGCTGCCTCTTCCTCTTTGGGGTTTATGCTCAAAAACCAAAACAAAGCAAGAGATATTCATGTCGTATATTAGGATCTGCGTTGAACGTTATGATTTTTTTAATATATATTTATTAATCAGTCAATTTTATTGTGAATTAATTAGCTAGATATAAGATTGTATAAAACGATATGTGGATTTTGACATGAAGATTACTTTTTTCCCTTCTAATTAATTCACAAAATGATATGTAGGGGTAGGCTTTAATCCATCGTTTCACGAAGAGGTTTGTCGAGTGGGCTAAGTTTTTTTTTTTTAATTTTTTTAATTTTTTTATTTTTTATCTGACTAATCCCCTTTCGCTCCCGGAAGCAGCATAGGACTTGCCCTAGAGGAATTGTCATCTGTAGGGACGGATTATGTCCAAAGTGGACAAATCTATTGTGCATACTGACATTTGACTCTGTCTGTTGAGCCATTGAGTTACCGTAATTTACATCATTTCAAAATACTCTACGGGATCGGGGTGTAAGGAGACCTTGCGGCGAGAGATTTAATCTTTTGGAAGAAGAAATTAAATCAGACTCAACCATATCATGAGCAAATATCTTGCCCCACGAGAATGACCAATGCATACTTCTACTTCCTCAATTGTGCAACAACTAATTTTATAGGTGAGACCTAAGGTCCTGTATCCCTCACCATCTTGAAAAAATCACACCACTGCTAACTTTATAACAAAATTTTTATAGTAACCATCCGTATTTTAGTTTAACCGAACCTTTATAAATTACAGTTTTCTATTCGAAAATGAAGAGCATTCTAATCCGCCCCATTTCAGCAAATTATGTTGTGGAACCGTGTCCATCTTGTAACATGGACACGATTCCAAAACGTCGTTGTTTTGGTAGAAAACAACGTTGTGTCAATTAAAAAAAACAATTGTTTTCTTTCGCTGTTAACGGCGTTTGTCTTTAGATTCGGTAGTTTCCTTCCCAAACTCTATGTTCACAATTATAGAACTTTATGTTATAATTACTGAACTCTATGTTCATAATTATAGAACTCTATGTTCATAATATTTGAACTCCATATTCAGAATTATTCGAACTCTATATTCATAATTCTTGAACTTTATATTTACAACTGCAGAACTCTATATTCACAGTTACGTAACAGTATATTCATAATCTTTGATGTCACTGAATTCTTTTAAAAAATTAAAAAAAAAATCTGATTAATAGAGGAAAAACAGTGCCATTAACAACACCGTTACTCCTGAATTACAGAACGACGTCGTATTACATCCGTGGACATAACATTCCCCCCATTTCGTGTAAGGATTTAGTAAAGAAAGGAGCAAACAAGTTGGGCCAACTAAAGATGGGTAGAAAATCAAGCCCAGCCCAATAGAGCTGCCAACTTATATCGATTAATGAGACAATCGTCATTGGGCCAACCCAAAATTAATGCAATCACAAACAATTAAACGTACCGGCAAATTATGTTGTGCATCCGGATGCAAAAACGACGTCGTTTTAATAAAACGCGCGTCTCCCCTTAAAAAGAAAAATTCAGGTTCGATTCCCAGCAACAACATATAAACTAAAATTTCAGAATCGATGAAGTATAATTCCATAATCGATGAACTATAATTCCAGAATCTAATCTATGAACTAAAAATTCCAGAATGAATGAACTACAATTCCAGAATCGATGAACTATAATTCCAGAATCAATGAACTATAATTCCATAATCTATGAACTAAAATTCCATAATGAATGAACAACATAATGCTGTTGCTAGGAATCGAACCTGGATTTTTTTTAAAAGGGGAGGTGCGCGTTTTTAATAAAACGACGTCGTTTTTGCATCCGTATGCACCATGCACCATGCATGGTGCATACGGATGCACAACATAACTATTCAAAGCCATCTCGACTCGATTCATTTAACTTGTAAAGTGGCGGGGTAATATAGACAATCCGGTTGTTATACTCTGGACCGGAAAATTATTGTGTGGACCATGGTCCACACAATGTTATGTGTACCATAACAAAAAGTACATTTTTAATATAATAAATGTACATTATTTTTGTACTGAATGTACATTATACAATATAATGTACACTCAGAACAAAAATAATGTACATCCCCTGAATACAATGTATATTATTTTTGTATTGAATGTACATTATTGTTATACTGAATGTACATTATTTTACAATAAACAAAATATGGTCCATACAACTTGTGTGGACCATGGTCCACACAATAATGATTGCTGTGGACCATGGTTTATAGTGCTATGTAAATTATGGGTGTCAAATGAGATTATAGTAGAATTAAAATTATACTTTAATTTTGCTAAAATGAAACTAGTGTGTAAAACATGAAACTAAAAATTAGAACGCATTCACAACGTATATTGTCAAATAAAATTGTAGTATAATTAAAATGATACTTTAGTATTACTATAATGAAATTAGTGAGTATGAAAAATGAAACTGAAAAATAAGACAATATTATCAAATGAAATTAAAGTTTAATTAAAATGATACACGCTACTACATGAAACATGGTCCACAGTAAAATATGCATAGGACCCATTATTGATCCCAGATTTACTCTTCCCTTTCTCCAAACAAAAAAAAAAAAAAAAAATTCCTTTATTACATATTTTTTCCTTTTGAGACCAAAATTTTAGCATAATTTAAGAAATTTTAGACCAAAAAATTGCGGCATTCGGTTTGTGTCGTTCCCTACGCTCTCTTCGTTTCTCCTACTTTTGGGCTCTCTCTAGATCTCCTGAGCAAGCCATGGCTGCCGAAAATTTCAGCGACAAAAACGCCGTATTCCGCAAGCTCCGTTCCAAGCCCGAAAACAAGGTTATCTGTCTGTCTGTCTTTCAAAATTCGATCCACTTTCATTTCGGATCTAGATGCATTATAGTAGCCCGAGATCTGATTCGGATTTGGCATAACGTTGTTAGTTTGGTTTGGCAGATGTGCTTTGATTGCAATGCGAAGAACCCGACATGGGCGTCTGTGACTTACGGGATCTTCCTGTGTATCGATTGTTCCGCGGTACATCGCAGCCTTGGTGTTCATATCAGCTTTGTTAGGTGAATTCTGTCATTTCTTGTGCCTTGGAGGATCTTTTTTACCTTGATCAGCTGATAATACGTGTTTCGTTTCAATTAAAAGCTTATAGTATGTGTTTCGTCTCAATTAAAAGCAGCTAATAATGTGTTTAGTCATAATTAAAAGCTTAAGTTTAATAGTCTGTGTTTCTTTCAATTTAAAGCTGATACTATGTGTTTAGTCACAATTACAAGCTTATAGTACATGGTTTAGTTGATAGTATCTGTTTTGTCTCAATTAAAAAGAGTTGATAGTATGTTTTGTCTCAATTGAAAACTGATAGGATGTGTTTTGTCACAATTGAAAGGTTATATTATGTGTTTCGTCTCAATTGAAAGCTTAAAGTAAGTGTTTTATAACAATTAAAAGTTAATTGTTACATGGTTTAGTTGATAGTTTTTTGTTTCGTCTTGATTAAAAAGAGCTGATAGTACGTGTTTTCTCTCAATTCAAAAAGCTGATAGTATGTGTTTTGTTTCAATTAAAAGCTGATAGTATGTTTTTTGTCTCAATTAAATGCTTAAACCAATAGTGAGATTGTTTTTTTGTGCATATATATATGTATAGTTTATTCATTTCTTCGTAAAATTTACCAAGCTTTTGAGTGTTAGGTAATAGGCATTACAGTATTATCTCGTGTAGGTGTAATGTTAGTGAACGTTTTAGGTCATTGATTATGGACACAGTTGATGAGCCTCACAACAGTTCAAAAGATGAAGTGAAGAGGAAATGTTTTCATATTTATTTGGATGCATTTGGCATTCTTTGGTTGTCAAACTGGGGTTTGAGTATAGAATCCAAAATGACATAAAAGAGTTTGAAGATTTGAGTCTAGATTGAGATGAAAAACTTAGAATAAGCGAATAGATTTGAATGATCTTATTGAATTTTATTAGTTTATGGTTAATGTATGGGGGAGACTAGTCGTTATGACACAATGTTACGGAGTATTTAGAAGCTAATGGTTTTCTCTGGTCGTTATGACACAAATCACACAATGTTGTTTAGAAGCTAATGGTGTTCTCTATATTTTCAATAAAAATGGCTGAAAGGAGTTCACTATGAAAGAAGCTAATGGTTTTCTCTGGTCGTTATGACACAATGCTGTTTAGAAGCTTAATTGTTTTCTCTACATTTTCAATTAAAATGGCTGAAAGGACTCAATGACATCACTTTGATTTCAGATTTGTGCACTAGTTCTTGCACTTCATAAAACTAGTTTTCTACCAACTGAAAATTTTTGTTTTTGGGGTTTGCGTTTCTGGGATTTGTTCAATTGTATGTCGATAGGATCTTAGTTTTCGTGTTCTTTATTTTATACTCCATACAAAGTTGCGATTCTTGAAAATGGAAACTACCACTGCTGGTTCTCTTGCTCTGTACATCTAGTAGAATCTTCTTCTTTGGTAGAAATTCGATTCTAATGTTGACAAGAACCTTCGTGCTGTTCAGATCTACTAATTTAGATTCGTGGAGTCCAGAGCAGTTGAAAACAATGTACTTTGGTGGAAATAACCGTGCTCAAGTTTTCTTCAAGCAGCATGGATGGAGCGATGGAGGCAAGGTTGACGCCAAGTATTCCTCTAGGGCGGCTGAATTGTATAGGCAGTTACTATCGAAAGAAGTCGCTAAAAGCGTGGCAGAAGTTGCAGACTCGGAAGCACCACCTGTTGCTTCTCAGGCTGTACAATCTGCTAATGGATTTTCTGAGAAAAAGATTGGTGAAGAACCGAAACAGAACTCCTTTGTTCAAGATGAGACCCCTGAAATTTCTGCTCCCCCGAAAGCTTCTCTTCCCGTTACTTCATCTGTTAAGAAGCCTATACTTGCAAAGAAAACTGGAAAGTCGGGGGGCCTTGGTGCTCGAAAGCTTACAAATAAGGTATGCCACGTCTTCCCCTGTTGCAAAGTGATTTGTTTCTTGAAATAGAATTCGTGATTGTTAACATTTGGTACTAAAAATTGATTTGCAGCCGAGGGAGAGTCTCTACGACCAGAAACCTGAAGAACCGCCTGTCCAGGAACCACCCGTTACTGCAAATAACACCACCACCACAGCTGGCTCATCATTTACTTCTCGTTTCGAGTACACAGAAAACTCGCAGGCTGCTGAGGAGAATCCTGGCGGTCCTCGTGTTCTTAACCATGTAGCTCCTCCAAAGGCAGCCAATTTTTTCGCAGAATATGGGATGGACAGTGGCTTCTCTAAGAAGACAAGCTCAAATTCATCGAAAGTTCAAGTAAAGCTTTCTTTCGTTTTAGTATATAGAAGGAATTAGACAGTTTTCAGTACATTAGACTGGGTATTTCGTTCCTTCTCGATTCTCATCCTGTCATTGCCAGGTCGAGGAAACTGATGAAGCGAGGAAGAAGTTTTCAAACGCAAAGTCCATTTCATCAGCTCAGTTTTTCGGTGATCAGAACAAAGCTGGCGGTGAAGCTTCAGTTTCCCTACAGAAATTCTCGGTATGCTACCCTTTACTATGTTACCTTTCACTCTTTCAGCCCCGCTTTTGTGGATGTAATGTATCAGTTTCTTCACCATTTCCTGACCTTACAAATTTAGGGTTCAAGTGCCATCTCCAGTGCTGACCTCTTCGGTCACAACGAAGATGACTCCACCATCGACCTCGCAGCAAGCGACCTCATCAACCGCCTCTCGTTCCAGGCAAGTGCTCGAATTCACCATTGTTCTCGCAATTTTAGACACACATCTCTTTGTATGAGTAACATTTACGCGTATTTTCAATTCTGCTCAGGCCCAGCAGGACATATCCTCCCTCAAAAACATGGCTGGAGAAACTGGAAGGAAGCTCAGCTCCCTTGCATCCACTTTGATGTCAGATTTCCAGGACAGAATCCTGTGATTACAAGAATCTTTTTTTTTTTTTTTTTTTTTTTTTTTGGTGAGGCACAAGAATCTGATTTATGAATGTTTCACATAAACCATAGTTTGTGTCATTATGAGAAATGTTATATACTCTGTATAGGTATAAAGACAGTATTTCTGAATTTTTTTTTTTTAATTTCAGACAACTATTTTTTTTGGGATATTATTCGCTATTTTGTTGTCAAAATTATGTTGTCATTATACCTTCTGCTTATGTGATGGGACAAGGGGAGATCAGGGTAATTCTAAGCCAAATTGGTCTACTAATTTGGTATCTACAATATTCCAAGTTTGACTCTCCTATTTTCATAGGGGTTTTATTAAGAAGGCACATTTGAATAGCGATGATGATTTTTTCTATAAATTAAGATAGTATGAGATTATTAAATTGGGTTAATTTTGTGTGAGATTGTTTAATCTCTCGCCACTGGAGCCACCTGTGTGTTCCCCACCACAACCATATCCACCTCGCTTCCACCACCTCCCCCACTTTCACCATTGTGTTCCCCGCCACCACCTCTGCCTCCGGCACCTCCCCCACTTCCATAACCACCACCGTGATCACCGCCAGCACCATAACCACTTCCGCTTCCCACACCTTCCCCACTTCCATATCCACCACCATAAGAGATTAGCTTAAACTCGTGACAAACACATTTTTTAAAACAAAAAAATGTGCATTATGCTAATCAGGAATTTAAGTTAATTATTCATTCTTTTTTTGTTAGATTTGAATAAGCGAAGATATATTTAAGTTTATATTGTATTCAAATTATTTGTATTAGATTGATTCAATTAGAGAGTACACTAAACTCGTTTGAGCCAGTTGCACATCGGTCGCACATGATCTTCGATTCTTAATGTTTCATCATCCCCAACTAAATTGATTTCAGGTTTTTTCCCTCCTTTTTCACGCATTTCGTTTTCTGCAAAAAGAGGTATTTAAACCCTAATTTCTGCAGAGCACTTTTCAACGTCTCAACTCTCAAACACTCTGCTTTCCTCCGCATTTTAGTGGGAAAATGAAGTCTCATAAGCCCTAGAAGCATACTTCTCAGTTCTCAGTCCTCACCTATAAATTCTCCCGATTCTCTAGAAACTGGACTCGGGTTTCCTGGTAACATGTCGGGTTTCACCGGAGGGTCATCGGAATCGACGGGATGGGGAAACGGAGAGGGTGATCTCAAGGAAGTTATGGATGACTTGGGCTTGGATTCATTACCTGCGGTTCGAAGCTCTTCTAGCTATTCACATTGGTCCAAACCGTGGAGTTCTGGGAGCAAATTGGAGCCTACTACGGACCCTAAATTGTATGGAGGTCTTGATCCCCAGGGCTCCGAACCTGATTGGACCGATTCGTGGAGTGCTGGTAATGTTTCCAAGCATGATTTGCCTTTCTCTGTTTATGGGACTTCGGGTTTGGCCTCAAAAAGTAAATGGGAAGCTGCTCATACCGTTTCGAATTGGTCTGCTGTAAAGGAGCTAGTGGAGGTGGGATTGGATACCAAACCACAAGAGGAAGAAGAACCAGTTGCTGTAGAGGATAACATATTTGCTAATTCTTTTTATGGAGGTCTTGATCCCCTGGGCTCCGGGCCTGATTGGACCGATTCGTGGAGTGCTGGTAATGGTTCCAAGCATGATTTGCCTTTCTCTGTTTATAGGACTTCGGGTTTCGATGGGATGAGTTTGGGCTCAGAAAGTAAATGGGAAGCTCCTCCTACCGTTTCGAGTTGGTCTGATGTAAAGGAGCTAGTGGAGGTGGGATTGGAAACCGGACCATTTATTCCGAGTGAGGCGGAGAGGGAACAAGAGGAAGAAGAACCAGTTGCTGTAGAGGATAACATATTTGCTAATTCTTTTTTCTGGGATGATAAGTCTTTGTTGGTGGTACAGTGTCTTATATGCTATACTTGTCTTAGTTGCTTATCTATTAGGCTGATTGAATATTCTGTGTTTGTTTGTTATTCACTGGAATTATGTTATAGGGTGGAGGGCTTGCTAATTTGGGTAACACTTGCTTTCTTAATTCAGTATTGCAATGCTTCATGCACATTGTACCTCTAATACAAAGCATTGAAGCTTGTGATCATCCATCCCCTTGTGAAGGTAGGATTAATACACTCAAATTTCAGTTTCGGGTCGTCTGTGTTTTATTGCTTTTATGTGAAGTTTTAGATTGGCGAACCTCAATACACTCAAATTTCAGTTTTCGTCTTACTTTTGTGGTTAATCGTGAATTGCAGCTTGTAATGAAGGGTTCTGTGTGCTTTGTGCTCTCAAAGAGCTTATGAACATCTCCTTGGCTTCTAAGGGTAGCACCATCCGTCCCAAGAAGATTGTCAACAATCTAAGTTGTATCTATTTTGATTTTGGCTTTCGTGCATACATGGTTTTTGCTTTCTTTTCCATGTAGTTTAGATAATTTATGCTGTTTATTGTATTTGTTTTTATTATTTTGGATTTAGTTTAATCCATAAATATGGCTAAATTCTGTCCTGTGATGTCTGCTTTGCATATGTGGATTCTGGCTAGATGTGTACTATTGAAAATGTATCAAGAACTTTGTTCCACTTTGATCCTTAACTTTGTGAAAATCCAGATTTTTCATCTACTTTTCAAAGGTTTCAACAGGGAGATGCTCATGAATTTCTCCAGTGTTTTCTGGAGAGACTTGAAAGTTGTTGCAATTATCCAAAGCTGAATGGCCAGGTGTCCCCAAAGCATGAGAATGTTGTAAAGCAGACTTTTGGTGGTCACCTAATTAGCAAAGTAATGAAAGTGTGGCTATAATTTAGTTATGTGTTTATTGTCAACCAAAAACTAATAATCCTATAATTGCAGCTGCAATGTTGCAATTGTGGTCACCGTTCTGACACTTATGAACCTCTGGTTGACCTGAGTTTGGAGATAGAGGATGTGGACAGCCTCTCTCTGGCTTTGGATTCTTTCACAAAAGTGGAAAGGATTGAAGATCCTGAGACAAAGTTTACATGTGAAAAGTGTAAGGTGCAAGTGTCAATTGAGAAGCAGCTTCTATTGGATGAGGCACCATTAGTTGCTACCTTTCATTTGAAGAGATTCAAAAATGATGGCTCTCTTGTCGAGAAGATTGCCAAGCATGTAACATTCCCGCCTGAACTGGATTTGCTTCCTTATGTGGAAAGGAATGAGAAAGTTATTGTGAGTTCCTTCAATTCTTGCATTATCCATGCTGTGATTTCAATGTTTTAATTCTTTACTTATTGGATTCCTGACTTGAGTGTTGGTTAAATGGTTAACTAAAGAAAATATTAATGTTTAGGCGTTTTTAAAGGAAATCCACAACTAATTAATGCAACTTGAAGAAAACAGTTATTCTTTACCTGTATACTCTGCCGGTTAGATGCAATTCAGTATTACTCCATATATATATCATGTTAGGGCTGTGGCTTAGTGGACATAGTTTGAATAGTGCAATGCCTATAGTGAAGCTTGGAGTGAAAATTCTGTTTTCCTCTTTAGTTGTGGAGTGCAATGAACTCAGGATCTTTAATTTGGTGATGCAAATGACTGAATGAGCAGGATGAATGCGTTAGGGCATCTGTTTATACCGTGACATCTTATTGATTCTTTATTTTTCCTCATCTACAGGAGGAATCAAAATATAATCTTTTTGCAGTTGTGGTGCATATTGGGGTTTCATTGTCTTCTGGGCATTACTACTGCTTTGTCCATGCTTCCCCCAGTGAATGGTACAAGTTTGATGACTCAAAGGTGCATCACTCTCCAAACTTTCGACCTTCAATTTTTTGGGTTTTAATTTAAATGACTGCTTGTTTCCTGTTAAGCAATGATTTTATGAGTTCTGAATGTTTCCGGGGTTAGTTGTTGATTATTAGCTACAAAAACCTATATGAATTGTATGGCTTCTGCAACACCACATACTTTGATTGCTCATGTCGTTGATTTCTCTTGCACTTTATCCCTTAATTGTTATTTATTGTATCTTAACATAGAAGGAGAGATTTATTGACTCACTACATATGAACTAAGTTGATGCATGTTTCGATCTTTTAGGTTACTCGGGTTCAAGAAAATGTTGTCATGTCTCAGGAGGCGTACATTCTCTTCTATGTAAAGCAGGGCACTCCCTGGTTCTCAGAAATCATCGAAACACAGCAGCTAATTCTCGATGCATCCATATCAAACAGTTCTCCACAACCAGTGTTATATAGTGTTGATCAAATCTTTAATCCGTATCCCAAAATGGAAACTGATCGTCCTTGTGATGTGAATGAGACCGATAATGCTGCAGATGAGGCATCTTCAAATGTTGATGGGCCAAAAGATAATGGGATTGATAGAAGTGATGGAAAAGAAAACTCGAATGTGGTGTCTGCCCTGATACACGAGGGTATGAACAATTCTTCAGATATCTGCTCTGCTGAAGCTGAGAAAACACCACCTCCATCTGTACTTAAAGAAAAAAACTGCAAACAGGAGTTCCGGATAAGTAAAAGGTTTGCGGATCTGACTACTGAAACACCGTCGATATCTCCAAGCCTAGAGATATACAGAGAAGACACTGCTGGTAAATTTACTTATGTACTTCAATGTGCTATGTCTTTGTGATTTGCGTTATTAGTATACAGATAGCAGTAAAACACACCCTGGGTTTGATTTGCAGATAACGCTTATTCTCCTCCTCGTGCCCTACTGAGACCAGCGGATGAGGTTAATCACCCCGAGGGAGAAAAGCTAGTCAAGAAAAAGATGCCTAGCACACGAGGGAGTGCGTTGAAGGGGTCCCACAATGAAAGTTGTATGAAGAAGAGACGGCGAAGAGTGGAGGGTTCTCCAACCAGAGAAAGAAGTTCATCCACTCGCCGTTCCTCGCGGTTACGTTCTTTAACCGCCACCAGCTTCAGATGAGTACAGGTGAACTTGGGGGACAAGTTGATTATCTTAGGACTTAGGATATATGCTTGTTTCTGAGCCAAATAGTAAGTGATAGAGTATTTTAGGTCAAATGTAAATTGCAGGGCTTATGTTTTATGTCCTTTCTCTACTGCAATGCATGAAAAATAGTGTTGCACTAGGTATATAAATAAGCTTTTTGTTTACCCTTGCACATAATACTAATACTAGGATTTTTATTATGGTACTGATCGATATCAGTGTTGATAGTACCGAGTATAACTATCCTTATTATATTTGGTAATACTTGGTACTATTGGTCACTCGTGCCGATAATATTCTGTACCAATGTATGGCTATACTTGATATTATCAGTATCAACACCATAGAAAATCTCATAGCAGGGAGTGGTTGGAAGCACATGCAAGGAGGAAATGGATGTCCCTATCTCAAGCACTCACAAAAATGGAGAAAAGTGATCTCGAAAAGGGTGACAAGTGGATGGAGTAGATTCTCGGCCCGTATCTAAAGGTTACAGTTTTATTTCTTGTCAACACCTTTTTGGTCGAATATATTCACGACACCTGGTCAATTTTCTTACTATAATTTATCTTTTTAGTGTGATTTGTGAATTATTATATATGAGCGAAATTTAACTGATGATACCCTCGGATAGTGACTATCGATTTCATATCGAGAAAAGTTGAAAGAATTGAGGATGTTGCATTGTATATATATTTCATTCAGATCATCATATATGTATCTATTTTAGCTAGTGTGCTTTTGCTGTCACCCATATCCTATCTGCTCATCATAATATGCCACTATGTATTATTGCTATCATATCACTTATACTGAGACTAATTTAAATTTGATTCGAGTTAGTTTTTAAAAAAAAAAGGTCTGACCTAAATCTTCAACCGTATTATCAGTCTACTTATATTACTAATCGCCTTAAATTATTAAGTTACAAATAGTGTTTTTTCATATTAATAATATATTATGTATCACAACCCTCACCCTTACTAGCTAGATAGTTTATAGCTATGATGATTACCTATAAATGATTAAGACAAAAAGATTCTAATTATGATGATAATAACAATAAGAATTATTCAGGATCTTTTTGTCCCAATGAATTGGATTATGGATTTGACAAACACCAGAGAACAAACTCACTTACTGATTAATCCATCATATTTTCTCTGTTTGATTATGAATATATATGATGATTACAATGTTTTTATAGCAATGATAACAAACTAATAAAAACTAACTACACCCATAATGGGACTAAATAACACTAGACTAGGAAAATTGGCTGCTTAATTATAGCAGTTTCCTACGTTATTAATGTTCTTAACTTTTATATTCCGATTGTAGGCTTCAAATGGAATCCTTTGAAAGACAATTACAATGTTGATGTTGGGATTCTATTGGGTTGAGATCCGGGGTTCAGGGAAGCGAGTAAATTTGTGGTGTTGGGACTTAATTGGGATTTCAACGATTAGCACCAGCATGAGCACCAGCACCGGCACCACCACCTCATGAACCTGCACTTTTTAGTCCGCCACCAGCACCGGCACCTGCACCGGCACCTGCACTAGCACCGGCACCAGCACCTACGGATACCCCTCCACCTACTCCTGCGCTTGCTCCTCCATGACCATGAGCGGATGCACCTGCTTTTCCGCCTCCTCCTCCTTGACCTTGACCATGGGCATGGGCATGAGCATGAGCGTGGGCATGGGCATGGGCATGGGCATGGGCATGTGCATGGGCATGAGCATGAGCATGAGCATGAGCATTAGCATGACTATGGGTATGACCGCCACCGGATGCTCCTCCTCCGGCAACTACATTACCACTGCCGGATCCTCCTCCTTTTGCATTAGCATTACCACTACTGGATCCTCTTTTGCGTCCTCCTACACTTACGGATGATTTTCCGCTTCCTTCTCCACCGCCAGATGACTTTCCGCTTCCGCTTGAGCCGCCAGATGATTTTCCACTTCCTCCTGAACTGCTGGATGATTTTACACTTCCTCCTGAACTGCTGGATGATTTTACACTTCCTCCTGAACTGCTGGATGATTTTACACTTCCTCCTGAACTGCTGGATGATTTTCCACTTCCTCCTGAACTGCTGGATGATTTTCCACTTCCTCCTGAACTGCTGGATGATTTTCCACTTCCTCCTGAACTGCTGGATGATTTTACACTTCCTCCTGAACTACTGGATGATTTTCCACTGCCGGATGATTTTCCGCTTCCTTTTGCATCACCGGATGATTTTCCGCTTCCTCCAGCACCGTCGGATGCTCCTCCTTTTACCCCAGCACCGCCGGATGCTCCTCCTTTTACCCCAGCACCGCCGGATGCTCCTCCTTTAACCCCAGCGGATGCTCCTCCTTTTACCCCAGCACTGGCGGATGCTCCTCCTTTTACCCCAGCACTGGCGGATGCTCCTCCGCTTCCTCTAGCACTGGCAGATGCTCCTCCACTTCCTCCTGCACTGGCAGATGCTCCTCCGCTTCCTCTGCCACCGCCGGATGCACCACCGCTTCCTCCGGCACCGCCGGATGCACCACTGGATGAACCACCGCTTCCTCTGGCACCGCCTGATGCACCACTGGATGAACCACCTCTTCCACCGGCACCGCCGGAAGCACCATCGCTTCCTCCTGCACCGCTGGAAGCACCACCGTTTCCACTGGCACCGCTGGAAGCACCACCGCTTCCACTGGCACCGCCGAAAGCACCACCGCTTCCACCGGCACCGCCGGAAGCACCACCGCTTCCTCCGACACCGCCGGAAGCACCACCGCTTCCTCCTGCACCGCCGGAAGCACCACCGCTTCCACCGGCACCGCCAGAAGCACCACCGCTTCCACCGGCACCGCTGGATGCTCCTGCGCTTCCTCCGGCACCGCCGGATGCTCCTGCGCTTCCCCCGGCACCGCCGGATGCTCCTGCATTACCCCCGGCACCGCCGGATGCTCCTGCGCTACCCCCGGCACCGCCGGATGCTCCTGCGCTTCCCCCGGCACCGCCGGATGCTCCTGCGCTTCCCCCGGCACCCCGGATGCTCCTGCGTTACCCCCGGCACCGCCTGATGCTCCTGCGCTACCCCCGGCACCGCCTGATGCTCCTGCACTACCCCCGGCACCGCCGGATGCTCCTGCGTTACCCCCGGCACCGCCGGATGCTCCTGCATTACCCCCGGCCCCACCGGATGCTCCTCCGCTACCCCCGGCCCCGCCGGATGCTCCCCCGCTTCCCCCGGCCCCTCCACCGCCCGACGCGCCCCCGCTTCCCCCTCCACCGCCCGACGCGCCCCCGCTTCCCCCTCCACCGCCCGATGCGCCCCCGCTTCCCCATGCACCGCCCGATGCTCCCCCGCTTCCTCCTGCACCGCCCGATGCTCCCCCGCTTCCTCCTGCACCGCCCGATGCTACTCCGCTTCCTCCTGCACCACCGTGTGCTCCTCCGTATCCATGACCGCCGGCATCACCATGTGCATGTGCATGTGCATGTGCATGTGCATGTGCATGTGCTTGTGCGTTCCCACTAAATCCAAAATGCCCATGACCACTGCCGGCACCGTAACCTCCACCACCGGCACCTGCGCCGCCTACTCCTCCAAGTCCTGCACCCCCTGCTCCTCCAGCTCCGGCTCCAGCTCCAACTCCACCTCCAACATTCGCACCGATACCTGCTCCAACTGAGCCTCCCGCTTTGGCTCCAGCTCCAGCTCCAGCTCCGCCTCTGCCTTGGCCTCTACCAAACAATAACCCGAAATGTAAAAGGTTCCGGGATGCCAAGCTTATTTCGAAGCTCAGCGCCATAAAGAAGAATATACATAGCGCTGTATGCTTCGCCATTATTATATATTATATATTATATAATTATATATTATATATTAAAATACAAATTTATTGATACTGATAGAATGCATGGAATCGGTAAGTATTTATATGAGCTTCAAATGATAGAAAGGCGCATTAATGGAGGTCGAGAGCACAATTAGGAATGCTTCTGGTTCCATTAATTACTGCACTTTCTGCTCTCTCTCACATCCATCCAAATATGTATACTCTCTTCGTAATATTATCATATTATTCATTATAATAATTTTTTTTCATCTAATATGATAGGACATTGACTTAGTAATTGGTTCCAAATAATTATGGCCGATGATAAAAGTTTAATTATATTTGCAGGGCGACTGAGCCGCTGAGCGAGGAAGAGTTAAAGCAGGCGCGGGAGGGGTCGCCGCCGGCGAACTCCAAGGTCTTCTGCGTGTGCCCGGAAGGGTGGTCGTGTGTGGTTTCCAAGACTGCCGGCAAGATTCAGTTCGAGTGCGGCGAAGGTTGTGCCTGTGTCGGCGGAGAAAACGACACCGTCAAAATTGCTTCTGTCTAATATTATATTATTGCTTAGCAATCTTTAAGGTGTGTTTGCTTTTCCCGGTGGGTTTTGTATCTCTTTCCTGCCATTGTTATGTACCAAAAATATCATATCCTAAAAGAAGAAGAACAATAAGATGAACACTCAGGCTAGTTGTTAGTTCATAGTTGTCTCAAACTAAGACAATTGCTCCAATAGTAGGGAGACAACTATCCAATCAACTTAGTTAAGATTGCTCTATTATCTGTGTATTATGTGGTCGGAAATTCCATAATTTCCAGTAGTGGTTGTCCCAACATGTGGGTTCTTGCAAATACCCATATACAAGCACTTTGAGGAACTTTAAAGTCATTAAGATAATTTCGCTATTTAATTTACTCATCCACCAAAATCAGGCAAGCGGGACCTTCAATTGGTTAATGAATTCAAAATGAAGTTAACAATGGCCTTGTTTGGTAACATATATAATTAGCTTAGATTAAACAATCTATATGAGTGTTTGATTAATTAGCTTTTTGTAATAGCTGATTGTTCTAAAATGCTAAAATTCATAAATGTGCTCAAAGCAGCATTTGGGAGGATGTAAATCATGGTGACTCACTACGCACAAGAACTGAACATGAACCACAAAGGCTAGACCTAGACCGGTGCTCACTACGCACAAGGAGAAACCACAGAGGCTAGACCTAGACCGGTGCTCACTACGCACAAGAACTGAACATGAACCACAAAGGCTAGACCTAGACCGGTGCTCACTACGCACAAGGAGATGCCGCTGGTGAGACTTGATCCTTGGTCATTATTTCAAAGTTTCACCTCTATAACCAGTTGAGCTACCCATGCGTACAACTTTTTTACAATCAACTAATGCTATCAACTAGTCACACCCACTAACCCAATCAGCTAACAGCTATTTACTAAACACCCCAATATATTTTTGTATTATTACCAATATTTATAAATTTTCTCTTTTTTGACAAATAAAAGAAGGGAATTGTATATACCTTTTTAAATTTGACTTTTGTGTTAAAGAAACCTATTAAAGAAGTTTAACTGCTTGCAAGAAAAGTATGCAATTGTATAACTAAAATATGAGCAGACAGTTATACATATTATCAAACTCCGTACTGGTTGATTTGTGTAATTTTCATTAAAATTGTTGGATAATATACCTTGAATCCTTGACCAAAGAATCTCAAGATGCTAAGGGAAAAGACTGAATGAAAGCCAGAATTGTAGAGTCAACCACTTGGGGTTGTGTGAAAATTGTGAAAGTGAAATCCAATTTCCCACAAAACGTATAGCACTACTCAACCCCACACGCCAAACACCATCTCATTTCATCATAGCATTCTCCTTTGGTTTCTATGGTGTCCTTGTTAAAAACCTACCCCTAAGTTTAAGAAACGAATTGGAAGATATGTCCCTAGGCACAATGTAATTGGTTGATTATATTAATTTATAGTAAGAGTAACGATTTGTTTTACTGTCAGGCGGTCAGTTGTAATGTTTGAGTCTATTGTAGAAAGTTGATAATCGCGAGAAGAGATCAAAGTTTGAACCTCGACGGCGGCAGTGTGGGAATTATGTCTAAAGTTGGCAGATTTTTTGTGTGCACGGGCACTTGACCCTGTCTGTTGAACTATTGAGTCACCGTGATTTACATCCTCACAAATGCTCTGTCGAGCCGGGGTGTGGGGGACCGTTAGGGTTGGGGAACTATTTGGTCACCGTGATTTACATTTTCCCAAATGCTCTGTCGAGCCGAGGTGTGGAGGGCCCTTAGGGTTGGGGAACTATTGAGTCACCGTGATTTACATCCTCCCACCTCCCAAATGCTCTGTCGAGCCGGGGTATGGGGGCCCTTAGGGTTGGGGAACTATTGAGTCACTGTGATTTACATCCTTTCAAATGCTTTGTCGAGCCGGGTTGGGAATTCAACCTTTTGGGAGAAGAAAGTTGATAATCAATATGCAGAGTGTGAGTACGAGTTTGAGCCCTATTGAAGAAAGTAGTATGAATTTGTCTCATTGTTAGCACCAATGTACAATCGTTTTAAAGAATTTGAGGCGGTTGTGGTAGATTATTATTGTTGCGAAAAAATGCATATACATTTAGTGATAACTTAATTTGTCACACTATTATTCTATTAATTGATTCAATTTAATTATATCAAATACTTAATTGTCACAATTACTACCTCATATGTGACTCAAAACAACAACAATAATAATAAATTATCACAAACAAGAGAGTCAACTAATTATTTTTGTCACAAAAAAAAAAAGATATTATTTGTGACAAAATTTTAAAGTGTCACAAAATGTCAAAATTCTGATATGATAAGGCTGATTCACCGAGTTTCAATTGAACTCTATCCGAGAGGTAACTCTCTATGGCATTCCTTTGGAAAATACTACATGGACTCTCATTTCTTACCCCCAACTTTCACTCCTTCTCACAAATAATCCTTGATATAGACACTTTTTCTGAGACCTACATGATAAAAATATTCTATTATTGTTTGTCACATCATAAAGTGAAAGTGAAAAAGTAGAATTTGGGAGTATATAGTAGAATTTCGTTCCTTAAAGTAGTACATAAAAAGGGGGGGGGGGGGGGGGGGGGGGAGAAGAGGTCAAATGGTCAAATAGCCCTACAAATGAAGAGTCATGGATGGCGTGCCGTGACCGCGGTTTCCTACAATCATTATTGTGTGGACTATGGTCCATACAAGTTGTGTGGACCATATTTTGTATACTATAAAATAATGTATATTCAATACAAAAAATAATGTATATTTAGCACAAAAATAATGTACAGTATATTCAGGGGATGTACATTATTTTTGTATTGAGTGTACATTATATTATATAATGTACATTCAGTACAAAAATAATGTACAATTAAAAATGTACTTTATGTATGTTCCTAACATTGTGTGAACCATGGTCTACACAATAATTTGCCAGTTTCCTACCAAGCCAAGCTTTGATTTTGACTAAAACCCACCAAAGGGACAAACATAGTTGGTTTATGGTCAAACTAACACTCAAAACAAATCATAGTACCACCAAAAAACACTAAATAATAATAAAATCATAGTATGTTACCACAATCATCTAATTATTTCTCTCTTATTTTCTCTTGGTCATTATATTCCTAGCTCTTCTCATTATATTCATTGTGCAATTATTGATCAACTATATGATTGTACATTGTAATATTTTACTCAAAGTATAAGATAATTTAGTCTTTTTAATTTATTTATTTAAAGATACTGTAATGGATTATTTTTAATTTTTCATTAATTTTATAGACAATGTCAACGCATTGTAACAACTAACAATTATTTCTATCAAAATCTTTTCTAATTTGTTGCTAGTAATTAAAGAGGGGACAACTTGTGGGGAGTAATAGTATTCACATCTTTTATTCTTCTTTCTAAAAGTTGAACCCCAACCCCGACCCGACAAAGATCTAGGAGGATGTAAATCATGCTTACTGAGAGATTGCTCCCACCTCTCGCTGGTGTGACTCGATCCCGTGTCATTCTTTCCAACTTCACCTCTATGACCAGTTGAGCTGCCCATGCGGGCACCATCTTTTATTCTTTATGAGGGACGGGGAAAATTCACAAGTTGTGGCAATAATTGACTCCTTGACCTTCAGGTCCGAGAATAATGTTTTATCTATTTGATAAGTTCTTTTATGGCTATTTTTCTTTCTATGTTATCTAAGTTCAAATTCATTTTTGAAAGCAAAAAACTCACTATGATAGATTATTGCTTAAGAATAGAAATAAAGTCAGGCCGGCACAAGTCTCAATACAACAAGTTAGCCTGTGAAAAGCAACGAAGCGAAATAGTCAATAGTATAGCAATGTTATCTTCAAAATAGTCAGAAGAGTGTGCTTACTAATTATATACATCTACGAGGATTAGTCAAAAAAGTTGCAGTCATCATCAAATGGTTGCTTCTGCATGAAAAATAATTATGATGGCAACTCTTTGTGGAAGGAAAATCATGAAATTTAAATATATTAATAATGCAAGATTAATGTTTTTAATGTCGTCAGATGATTAAATCAGAGATATATACACTAAAAGTCAACAAATTGTACTCAAAGTCTATAGTTAATGTATTTTTAAAATAAAAATAAATAAAAAGGAAGAAATTAAAACCATATGATGAACTGCTCATAGGGTAAACACGCATTTGGTTTACCTTTGTGGTTAACAGCCACACGCTCTAACCAACTGATCTATTCCAGCTATATTACTAAAGATTGTTAGAATGACAACTACACATTCTTATGACTAGTGTTCTTGTCATAAAAAGTTGTCAACATCTTTTTGTTGAATTCTTTCGCACATAATCTATTTAGTACATTTTATCTCTTCTCTGTTGGTTTGTGAGCTATTATACTAGAGTGATATTTACTTAGTGCACACACTCGAGTAGTGAATGAGCATTTTCTTGTCAATAAAAAAAAAATGTGAGTGAAAGTTTAAAAACATCCTGATTTGATGTCAAAATTTACATTGTCGCAAAAATTTTACAGACCCCCTAAAAGAGGGGGTTGAAATGTTCCGGTCATCCATCAAAGTTTGCCAAGAAATATTGACCACCACCAATAGTAGTTTTTTTTTTTTTTTTTTTAATGTCCTAAAATTTCTCTCAACTTTTTGATGATCGAATATTGATATCATCGTCTCAATTTAAATACTAAATTCTGAACTAAGCATTAAAATAGTGGGACGGACAACTTCATAACTAAACATAAAAAGGATGGTCGATTGGGTAATATAATTCATGTATCAAAAAACTACGGTTCAGTTCTTGCAATACTTTCTCATCGTTGCACCGCCAGATGCTCTCGCTCTGCTTCCTCCACCGCCGGATGCTCCCGTGTCTCTCCTCCACCGCCGGATGCTTCCCTGCGCTTCCTCCTCCTCACCGCCGGATGCGCCCCTCCCGCCCGATTCCGCTCCTCCACCGCCCGTATGCTCCTTCCGCCTCCTCTCCACCGTGCTCCCCCGCT